GACTCACTAGTGAGTTTTCAGAGGCAGTAAATCACTTAAGAAGAGATTGCCCATCCTTCTCTGGAAGCAGCTGGTGGATTCAAACCATGTGTCTTTGAGATTGAAGCTCAGCATCTTGCCACTAGGCCATAAGAACTCTCTTACTAGTAGTTAGTAATCTGTTACGTTTTGTATTACCCTCTCCCCAAAGCTCTTAAAATCTATGAAAGGGAGAAATAAATTATATATATGCAATAACAAGCTAACAAAAGCTCTCTCACCAGCCATAGAAGATAGAATGCAATGGGATAATATTCTTAAAAACCTAAGGAATAATAATCTTTAGCCTAATATTTTATATCAAATCGAATAATTATTCAAAAAAATTATAGACATTCAAAGCCAAGAACTGACAACCAGACAGCTATACAAAATAGCTGTGAGAATGTTACCTTCACAAGAGTGCCCTGAAATGAGTCATGGATGAGAGATAAAAAGGGAATAAAATTTAACAAAAAATGTCAAGGCAGTTAAAAAAGTATATCAAAAGAATTTTTACAGAAGAGAAAGTCTAAACTCTACACTTATAACAAAATTATGTGTACATTGTCTAGATAAATTTGGTTAAAGTTCATTGTTCTGAACTGAAGAACGATAAAAACACTGAAGATCTAAGGATATTATTAAAATATTACAATTAACCACAACAAGATAAAGGTAAACAACCCAGTTACAAAATGAGCACAGGATATGAATAGACACTTCACCAACAAAGACATTCAGAGGCAAACAAACACATGAAGAAATGTACAAAATCCCTAGCTCTAAGAGAAATGCAAATCAAAGCAATTTTGAGATATCATCTCACCCCAGTAAGAATAGCAAAATTCAACAAAGCAGCAAACAACAAATGCTGGTGAGGTTGTAGAGAAAGAGGGACCCTTATTCACTGCTGGTGGAAGTGTAATAAGGTGAAACCACTATGGAAAGGCAGTATGGAGCTTTCTAAAAAAGTTGGAAATAGAA